GGTCTTTAAATTTGTTCCGAGTCATTCAAATTTTATTTATTCAAATTTTATTTGATCTCATATATTAAAAGATTTAATTTTAGCCGACACTATTTATATGAACTTGAACCTGAATTTGTGAATTGAAGTTTTAAATTGTCACTCACTACAAATAATATTTTATTTATTTGCAAATTTGAAAAATAAAGATTCTTTCAATGTCTAAATATATATAATTCAAAGAATTTAAATAAGGTTACCATCGTCGTGTCGTTCTTCTCTTCTGGCTTGTTCTTCAATAGCGCGAAGGAATGATTCGACGCCTGTTTGTTTAATTTGATTTGAAAAAAAAAAATTTTTAATTGAAAGATCTTAAAGCGCAATTTTTTTTAAAAGAGAAAAGAAAGAAATCAATAAAATACACTTACTGTTACTAGCAGGATCTATACCAAGTTGAGATAAGAGAGGGCCCAATTGACCAGACTGCAAAGCATAAGTTAATGATGCTAGTGACTATAAATTTATTTTGGAAACTTTTTAACTTCTGTTGATGATGATATAAGAAAAATTTCATTTTTTTTTTTCAAAAATTACCTGATGAAATTGTGGACTATGAATCACTTCCATTAATTCCTCGGTTGTTGGATCAATATTTGGAGGAAGATGAGGAAACACAGCTAAAAACCATAACCAATGAAAAAAGTTTATGATAAATATCACATTCATCAAATTTTTTTAATGGATGAAAATTCTTAACAAACCTGATGCTATTTCAGGATTACTAAATATTGGTCTAAGCGCATCAGGCTTAAGAACATCTGCGAGACTGATATCTATAATTAGAAAAAAGAGGGAAAATGATGATAACCATTAAGTTTATCTTGATGAAAAAAAATTATTGCTTAATATTTGGCTAATTAATCAATCACCTCGACTTCTATTTTCGCCACTTTCATCTAATAAGAAAATAAAAGGTATTTTAAAAATGTGAAAATCGTTAAATTTTTATATCTGTTAAAAAAAAAATACTACCTTGTGGAACCTGTATATTAGCCAAAATATCTCGCAAACTACCCAATTGTTCCTCTGAAAAAGCTGATGAATCAGCAATAGCAGCAGCAGTTCTCGTAGTGCTTGCGCCTGTATTGGTAGCGGTACTTGATCTTCCGCCACCTGTTTCAGTTGTACCAGTAGTGGCTGATAGCGGTTCACTAGCAGGTGTATTTGTAGAACTAGAAAAATTACTTTTATGGTTAAAAAATTATAATGATAAATCATAGATCACCAAATAAACTATGAACATTTAATTATTAATCAAAAAATAATACCCAAACGTTCCGTGACTTTGAAGTAATTGAAACAATTGTTCTTGATCCATTCCAAAACTAGTCAAATCTTCCATCGTACGAAAAGAATTATTCAACGGATTCACACTACTACTGCTACTGCTACTACCACCACTTTGTTGATCATTAAGTAGTCGATTCACTTTTTTTACATTATCTTCATCTTTATCATCTTTTGCATCTTGCATCCAAAAAAATAATTTTTGATTTGATGATTTGAAGTTAAGAAGGTAAACACGGCCAGTTGTACATTGCTCGACTCGGATAAATTCTGCTTCATCCTGAAAAATTATCAAATCCTATAATAATTGATTAGAATGATTTATTTATATCATAGATACAAATCATTCCCGTACCCACATCCACGTCCACGCCCACATATATATTTATTATTATCTTACTGTTTCCGCATTTGTGTACTTTCTATCTTTCCAATAAAAATGCATCAATCCATCTTCAGTCTATCGTAACATTTTTATTGTTAGTAATGAATATCAACTATTAATACTATCGGAAAAAACCATTTCGTATAAATACTATTGTTA